GAAATTGACCAATCACAGTCGATTATTCTTCTCACATTCGACTGTGATTGGTCAATTTCTTACTCTTACTTCTTACTCCGTGTATTGTAGACGGGCCTTGACTTGCGGCTTATTGTAGAAGGCCTATTAAGGCGATGCTAAAGCCTTCTGTTTTACCACATTTCCATTCGGTGAAAAATCTCTGTATTGGATGTACGGATTGCAAAAGTATTATTACTTAAATTAAAGTACGCACAAACAGGACCTCAGCTGCAGTGGATTTCATGCAAAAATCGAAAAAAAGTTTAAAATTCGTTAAAAATTCACTTACTTTTGGTTCGTACAGCTGTCACATCAGGGTACCTATTATGGTAATAATCGGAATGGATTCCGATCGGAAAAAAAATTATTTCGTTTTCTCCAGAAAACACAATAGAAATCTAGGGAATAATTGAATAATTTCGATCGGAATCAATGCCGAATATTTCCATAATAGGTATCCAGATATATATTTACTTGATATAAAAGTTTTAGAGTCCATATCTTGAAAATAAGCGTGCAGCTGAGGTCACATTATTGAAACGAACGATACCGAGTTTGTAGAACTAATAGCGTTTTCGACCCGATCGGGTTTGCACCAACCTGGGTTGGATTAATCTTTCCTATTGGTTGATGTCACGCTCTACCAATAGGGGAGCGCAAAACGCCATTAATCCAACCCAGGTTGGTGCAAACCCGGTCGGGCCGAAAACGCTATAAGATTGAAAGTCTAGAAAAGAAATATTTCCACCGAATAGAAAATACGTGTATACAGGTGCTTTGCGAAGACTGGGGGTGCGTTCCGTTTCTCGTATGATGTGCATAATGCATCGTTTATCCTTGTTGCTCACCAAATGTTAAACAAGGACAATGGATGCATCGTGCACATCATGCGCGATACGGAACGCACCTTGCGACTGTCAACAGACCCGAAATCCGTGTAGCAGTAGTTGCACGGTCTTGCGATAGATGGTGCTGGCATATGTTAAATAAGAACAGATGTATGTGTTTGAGTAAGACAGAATAATATATATTATATAATATAATGAAAAACTGAATCAAAGATGTCACTACTATTATCGAATTTGGAATTAAAAAAGTTTATACTATCGATTTTGATCGAGTTGGGTAATCAGTTTAGCATCCCCTTGATCGTGGTTCAACTTATTTCTCATCTTTTTCCAATTCTAAAATTAGAAAGAGACAATGAATAAGTTGAACCTCAGTTATGAGTTAACCGTCAGTTATGGAACTGGGCCTTATGCCCGTTTCTACCAATGTGGATGAACTTTAATCTCGGTTCAACTTATTCTTCACTTTTTTCTTGTTTTTAAAACTAGAAAAAGATGAAGAATTAGTTGAACCGAGATATTAAAGTTAAACTGCATTGGTAGAAACAGGCATAAATGACGTATATTCGACGTTAATTTTAACATGTCAATAAGTCTTTGCAATAATGACGTGATGTAGACGTTAAATTTATCATATATGTATACATATATAAGTAACTATAATTAAAGAATTTATTATTAATGATGTATATGCATGTATACAGGATGTCTCTAGAAAAGCCGTTTGAAATATCTCGTTACTTATTGATTTTATCAAAAAATGTTTCAGATGAAATTTATGTATATATATTTATATCTTTTAAAGTAATTTTGAAAATATGTTCTATCTGCTGTTATAGTAAATACAACTCTCATATAGGATATAGCTTTTGCAGATAGACGCAGAAACATTTGCATTTTTTTATTGTAAGATGTCGGTCATGAGAGTATATAATTTAAGAGGAGCTCCCCAGATAGCACACAATATTTACAAAATATTTACAAAATATTTAGAAATATTTATAAGATTTATTTTAAATATTTTGTAAATATTTTTGTGGTTTTAGATTGCACAGATCATAAATATTTATTATAAATATTATGAAATACTTATTAGAATAGTTTTAGTAAATGCTACGAAACTACTTAATGAAACATTATAATCCAAATAAAAAGTACTTATTAGAAATATTTATTTATATTTATCATAAATATTGCATAAAATATTTAGTCTATTTTAATAATATTTCGAATAAAGCTTTATATAAAATATATATAAAATATCTATATAACATTTCAAAAAATGAATATTAATAAATATTTGTCATAAATATTCTGTGCTGTCTGGGTCGTGCGCATTATGTAAAGATACGTTCCGAGTTACGCATGAAGTACATTTATGTGCTAATCTATAC